CTGACTTATTCCTCCCCCCTACTTCGTGCAGAGTTTGAGAAAATGTCATCAGAAAGAACACAAAGTATAGTAGGGAGTGAGGTGGAGCCCCTGGACTATGGGGGCATGGACATTGAGAGTAGTCCATCTCCGTCTAGTTCGGAGAAAGCGGTGGAGGGGGTGAGAGGAGATGAGATGGTGGAAGTTAGGGGAGGAGAGGTGGTAGAGGTGGGGAGGAATGAGGGAGGAGGGGTTGAGGTAGATAGCATACCCTTCACCGTAGTAGAAGTAGAAGGTAATGGGGAAAGAGGTTATGATAGGAATGCAGAGATAGTGGAGGAAGTGAAGCAGTACCGCTCTGAACTAAGGACCAGGGATGACCTGTGTCACTTAGTAGAAACGTACGAGATCTCTTCTCGGGTATTAGTTAGGCCAGCTGGGGTAGAGGAGAGGGCGTGCTCTGCTCCTCAGGATCACTGGATGCCTATGTATTCCCACTATTTGATAGCGGGACTCAGGTTTCCACTTCCTGAGTTGCTAATAGGTTTACTGTTAGATTACAACATAGGGTTAACACAGTTGGTCCCCAACGCAATGAGGGTAATAATAGGTTTTTTAGTTTATTGCCGAGCTCAGGGGATTAGCGTGCCAACTGTAAATATGTTTAAGTATTTTTTTGTTTTAAAGGAGGGTAGCAGGAGAGATAAGGGTGGTATTATTTCACCCCGAGGGTAGATAATAAGGAGGGTAGGATTTTATTCACGGCGAGTCCTTCATCCATTAAGGGATGGAAGGAAAAATTCTTTTTTGTGGATGACACGGAATGGGGGAAAGGGGATGCCGAGGTGAGGGCATTAGCCTCCTGGAAGGCCAAAAGGGCCAACCAGAATAAGTTTAGCTTAAATGAGGATGAGGAGGAAGAACTGGGGAGGTTGGTGAGGAAGAGGGGGGATGTGTTGGATATCATGGATCTCACCAGCGCAGCATGCATAGAGGCTGCTGAGCTCTATGGGCCAAGCGCTCTGAGTGAAGGTTTGTTTGACATATACTGTAGCGTTAAATGTAGAACATAGAATTGTGACTAATATTGTGTTTCTTCCTTTGCAGCTGACATGAATCAATTTTTGAATACTGCTGGAGGGAAGGCCATCCCCAAGAAGCCAAGGAAGAAGTCAAGGACTTTAACTAAGCAAGTGGATGAGGGGAGAGTTGAGAGGGAGGTAATGCCCTTGGCTTCAGTTGAGACGGAGGACGATGTGCCACCGTTGAAGAGGAAGGGTTGGGAGGAGAGGAGGGCAGCGGAGAAGAAGCAGAGGGTGGTGGAGGAGGAGAGGGGGAATGAAGTTCCTGAGTTCGTACCTCAGCCTCTTCCTGTTGAGCTGAACCCTGAGCTTAGACGGTTGGAGGAGGGGGCTGAGGTACGAGCTCCTGGCAAGGGAAAGGGCCCCATTCCCCCGCTGGGGCCTCAGAGCAGCCTGTTCGAGGCGAAGAACATAACGGGGGCGAGGTGGTTCATCAACAACACCTTCCCCGAAGTGGAACGAAGCTACGCGCGGGAGGAAGCTCTGAGGCATGGTGGAGCGTCTGTGGTGAGGCACGCTCTAGAGGTATGTTAAATTAGTAATGTTGTGTAGTTAAGCTGTGTCATCTTCTCTTCTTCCTCTCCTAACCTCGATTTTGATTTGCAGAGCGCGAGCTGGGTGAATGGTCTAGCCTAGGAATTCAGGGAGAGCCTGAAGGAGCGAGCACTCTTGCAGAGGCAGTATGACCAGCTGCAGAAGGAGAAGGAGGAGCTGGAGAAAAAAAACAAAGAACTGCAAGAGTCTCTAGATGAGGTGGTTCCAACTGTGAAGCAGTTGGAACAGGAGAGGTCGTCCCTGGGCACCAAGCTCGGCTTTGAAGAGACCAAGCGAAAGATCTCTGAAAGCGAGCGTGAAGCTCTGGCACAAGAATTAAAGCTAACGAAGGAGGCTTTCTTGGAGCTGAAGGGGAATGTGCAGACCCTAGTGCACAATGGGATGAAGGAGCACATCGGCAACTTCATCAGCTCCAGCTCGTTTGACAACATCGTCAACTTATACCGGCTGCCTACTGCCATCATCGCATTCACGGACTGCAGGAAGAAGGTGAAGGCTGAATATCCCGAAGTGGATATTACGAAGATCACCTTCGGAGAGCAAGAAGAAGGAGTGGAGGAAGATGGTGAAAGCATGTCAGCAGATTTCTGTCCTCAGATCAAACTGAGGTGGGAGGATGATGTAAACAGACGTGCTGTTTTCCCTCCACAGCTCGACTTCGAGTTCGTGGCAGTGGAGGATGAAGGGGCAGAGGTAGAGGGAGACGAGATGGAGGCAAGAGTGGAGGAAGCTGAAGTGGGTGAGAGCCAACCCGCTCCAGAAGTGGAGATTCATCCAGTTCCCTCCGACGATGAGCAGCCTCCTCTGCCAGACGAGCAGCAGCCAAGATAGCCACCTCTTCCAACCGAAGAGGAGCCAGTGGAGCCACCTCCTCCAGCGGAGAACTAATTTTGATTTGTTGTTTTTTTAATTTTTTGTAGAACATTTAAACAGTTTGTAACACTTTTATTATGTTTAATGAAATTATGTATTTGTTTATGTTTGGTTTATATTTTTGTTATGTTTTATGAATGAAAGAACTGAGAGTACTTGAGACGAATTAAGAAGAATTAAGAAGAAGTAATTCACTTCAGACGAGTTAAGAAGAAGTAAGCCACTTCGTATGAATTAGGAACAAGTACAGCATTGCGAACAAATTAAAAGCAGATAAAGCACTTCAAATGTGAAGTGACATTTATTAACAGAAGGGAATGAACTGATTGACCTCAGATACATAGAATAAGAGGTAAAATGATTTTCAATAAAC